CAATTCTTTGTTGTAGATGATTCACCGTCATATCGTGACTTTCCAATGTATCGTGATTTTCCAGCATTTCCACGTATCGGTCCGCCACTAGGGAAGACCGCCTGACCATCGTCATCCAGGACGATACTTTGGTCTACCAATGTTGGAGTATAGATCAGATTCATCGATGGAGTCTGATCCGTTAGAGTATGTGCCGTAGTACATGCTGCAGATTTAGTACTATGGCTATACAGATGAGAAATCTCCGTATTCCATACCGGACTTGGGACTCCGAGACATAAGTGACCCCGAACCTAAGGGATCACGACACGGAGGATGGATATTCTCTGGATCGACAAAGTCCCAACAGAAAGTTCCACGAGAGGATACTAGTCATTATGAACCAAGCCGATCAGGTTATGTGGGATAACTACATAGAGGATGGATATCTTCCGACTCGACAGAGTCTCGACGAATAAGGGTATTTTGACGAGAGGATGATACTAGCGATGATAAACCAACCTCAACTGGTTATGAGGGATGGGCAACTTGGCAAGCACTATCTGTGAGTCTAGGCGGTGGTGTTACTTCACGTCGTCGGTATCCAAAACGAGAAGAAGCGGTAGAACAGGGTCGGAATCATCGGAACTGTCCTAATCCTCATGAAGCAGGACCAAGTACAGTAAGACCTGAAGGAAGAAGTACAGAGGATCAGCTGATGAGTGTGGTACATGACCTAGCAGGACGTTTGGGTGATCAATGATGAACTCCTAGAAGAGTTCAGCTGGACCCTCCGCCATTGCCACCAGATTTCTTCAAAATTTTAAGATGATAAAGAATTTAGGAACAAGAAGATTCTTCGGAAATCCTGATCCGTTTGATGCCGAATCGTGGTTGCAACACATTGAGAGGAACTTTGCGACAACCCGATGTCTGGAGGATTTTAGAACGGATGTGGCAGTACATTACTTGATGGGAGATGCAAACAATTAGTAAAGTAATGTTAATGATCACTACATGGTAGTAAAGATTCCATGGGAAGTATTCTGACGAGAGTTTGAAACGAAGTACTTTCCATCGGAAGCAAATGATAAATTAGAAAGAAAATTTCAAGAAGCAAATGATAAGTTAGAAAGAAAATTTCAAGAATTGACAGAAAGACAATTTACTGTGAGGAAGAATGAGGCTGAGTTTACTCGGCTTCGACGTTATGCACACTACGGAGCAGGTAGTGAAGTAGCAGTTATTAGGAAGTTTATACGAGGGTTAAGATCCGAGATGATGAACAGACTATTGGTAGTGGAATATCATAGTTTGTTCGAGCTTGTGGAGCGAGCAGTTAACATTGAGGAAGGCTTGGAAATCGAGCAACTCTTCTATGAACAATCGTAAGTACCGCAATAGCAAGTACAAAGGCGAGGCCCAGTCAATCAAGTGGCTAGACCTAGAAAGCTTGGACAAAATTCGGGCAGAGGACAAGGTCGGGGTCAAGGACAGATCTTTGGCCGAGGTCGTGGAAGGGGACCCGCTGGTAGAGGAACACCAGTGATAGAAACTTTGCTCGAATGCTTTAAGTGTGGCCGTCGAGGCCATTACTCTCGAGCATGTCCTAACAAGGGAAAGACATGGCCTGTGCCGGACTATGTCATATGTTATACTTGCAACAAGTCAAGACACTACTCAACCTCGTGTCCTGTTAAGACCAACCGACCAGTCGTTGCAAGTGCATTAGAGGTACTAGAGATCGAGCTGCCGCCTAAGCGCCAAGCCCTTATGGGACGCATATATCTTTTAGATAAACCCAAACTTTCCGACCTTCTAAAGGTCCAATTTCAGGTACTTGAGGGTTATAACTCTTAACCTTTTTGTGATGTGTGATATAATGTGATACTTGTGTAAATTTTTTTTTATAGTATATAAAAAGTTTAAACGAAAATTTATTGCATTATATC